AAAAAAGGCCAGGTAAGTAAAGTGGGGAAGCACTTCATTAGCTTTAGAGAGATCATTTATGAAGTTTCAGAAAAAATCTGAAAAGCATAAAAAGTCCTCCACAACTGCAAAATGTAGATGTGTTTTCTCCAAAATGGAAGCACATGTTCTGAAGTTCGGCAGAAATCTGACATGTTATTGCTTTCCATGCTCCTGTGTGGCTCTAAGACTCACAATTTTGGGGTGAACAGAAGTAGCAGCATCAAGCCTTGTGTCTGGGCTTGTACTACAGAAAGGATAAGATGATTGATAAGCTAGAGATTTTTTGTCACCATTTGTGTAGTCTTCTCCATTGCTGTTAGTAGAATGGAAATGGGTAAGCAAAGAAAAACTTACAGCATAGGTATTGATGTTTGTGTTTGGTCTTTCATAGCTTGGGATTTCAGGAAGATGAGGTATGCTAGAGGAGTGTATAGAGGAGGAATCTCACTCCGAGACAACCAAAAGCATTTCTCACTATAGTGGCTATTTGATATTAAGGAGGTATGGTGTTCTTTCACTATCCTGACAGTAAAATCTGAAAAAGAGCTAAAATTATCCTGGTACACTTAAGTTATGGCAGATTTTTGAGAGTAGGTGGACATGTACTGACTCAGATAGGCCGAAGACACTGCCTGTCTCACTGATGAATCAAAGTAACAAATCAAAGCAATTATGACCTTGCTCAAAGTGATGCCTTTTTCCAGTGCTTGAACAATGCTGAGCCATGCCAACTGGCATTAGTACAGAAACCAAGTGAAATGTTTCTATCAACACCAAATATCTCTACCATCAACGAGATAATGTGCAGTCCTGTGTAGGGGAGCATGGTTAAAGAAGAGAAACAGTGTTACTGACAAAACCATAATGGTGTGCCTTGGCATAACCTCAGGAGGGAAAACTCAAAACTTTTTGTGGGCAATCCAAGTAAATTAGACATAAGTACCTGAGGGCAGGCTGAATGTATCTCCTGAATTTAACACTTATCCTACCATCCCTTTCTAGAAAATATCCAAAAATAGCCTCACTACAGAAACATAATAATCTGAAAGGAAGACTATATAATGAAAAATGCACATGCTGGCTTGTGCACAGTTTCTGGAGTTTGGATTACAAAACATTTTTATGATCCAGAAAAGAATTTTCCATGAAGACAGACCTCAAATATGGATTGTGGATACAGCTTCTGCATAAATCAAGGCATGTGGAGAGGAGAAAATAAATGAAAAAAAAAGAAAAATACAACAATGAACTAAGAAAAAATATAAGAGAAAAAAATGAAAATGATAAGATTAAAATTGCATAAGAACAAGGAAATGGCAAGGGGCTGCTCTTCTCAGCTGGGCAGCTGGGAGAGGAAAATGGAAGAAGTCTCCAAGTTGGATAAGTGGGGACCAGATACAGGCAGGAGAGCACCCCACACACTCATTCTCTGGACACGGTGAAAACAGTCTTCCGTGCTTGAGGTGCACAGCCATGAGAAGTGTGAATGTGTACAGATGTGGGCAGTCACTTGAGACTAAAATTGCAAACCCACAAGCCAGTTTCTCCCCCCTCATTAACATAAATTTAAGGGCAAAATAGTTTGAGATACCATCTCATTACTGAGATGTAATTACTTTTCCTAAATGTTCTGAAGATTATTTACTTGTATGTTGTGAAGTATTACAGTATAGTCACAGCTAAGACTCTCAATTACAGGAGAACCAGGCAGCAAAATTTGAGTTAATTAGAATCAGTGAAGCTTAATCAGTTCCTCTGTTTATATAGGGAAGAGCATTCCAATTTTTAGTCCATTTGCGAAGTCACCATACCAGTATGCTGCAGTCTATTGAAGTCCTCATACAAACTGGAAATTCAGAGACTGATTATTTTAAAACTGATCTTTTTTTGTGTTTTCTACATTGGGACAGATTCTTTTTGCCTCACTCCCATTTTTGGCAGATTGTCTACGTTTTTTCTGAGATGGTTTCTGACTGCTTTTGGTATCTGAAAGCAAACTGCTTTCATTTTGGAGTCCCAAGCCAGTGGCTAAACACAGAACCCCAGGCTTACTCACAGGTGATCTGATCTAGGAAGACAGGGTGCTAGAGAGTAAAGCTACAGGTCTCCTGTGTTCTTCACTCAGCCTGCCTGCAACAGCATTGCTGCCTGTACAGGGACATTCCTCCTGAAAGATGAAGTGGTGCTCCAGGGTTGTTGGGGTAGAATCACAGAATTGTAGGGGTTGGAAGGGACCTCTAGGAATCATCATCATCCAACTTCCTGCTAAAGTGAGTTCCCTGCAATAGGTTACACAGGAAAGCATTCAGGAGGGTTTTGAATATCTCCAGAGAAGGAGACTCCACAGTCATTATGGGCAGCCTGTTCCAGTGATTTGTCGTCTTCACAGTAAAGTTTTTCCTCATGTCTTATGGAACTTCCTGTGTTCCAGTATGTGCCTGTTGCCACTTGTTCTGTCACTGGGTGCTGTTGAAAAGAACCAGGCTCCATCTTCTTGACTCCTGCCTTTATAAGAATTGGTAAGATTCCAATTTAGTCTTCCCTTCTCAAGGCTGAGAGGCCCAGATCTCTCAGTCTTCCCTAGTAAGGAAGAGCTCCAGGCCCCAAACATCTTTGTGGCCCTCTGCTTGACTCTAGTAGTTCCTTGTCTATCTTGAACTGAAGAGCTCAGAACTGGACACAGTACTCTAGATGTGGCCTCATCAGGGCTGACTAGAGGGGGAAGTTCACCCCAGTTCTAATGCACCTCAGGATACCATTGGCTTTGTTGGCCACAAGGGCACACTGATAACTTATGCCCAACCTGTTGTTCACCAGGATATCCAGGGCCTTCTCTGCAGAGCAGAAGAAAATGCACAATCTGAATAAATTGCAGAAATGTTCTGAAGTATCTAACCTTCAATATAATTACATGTAGCGTAAATATATCAGTGGTCACTGCGGTGACTCCAGAAGTCCACATAACAGTACAAAGATTGTACAGTTAGTTTTGAAAATTCACCTGCACAAATTCAGAATAGACTATTTCTTAGGTAAACTTAATCCCATCCAAATTAGGCAGTAGTCAAATGAGTGACTTTCTAAATGCATTTGTATGACTGGCTAAGACACAGGAACATTGTAAATTGGGTGTAACTCCTACCCTTGACTGTCTCAGCACAGTTAATGGAAAGAGGACTCCATCAGCTTTCAGGCTTACCCTGCAGAGACATTAGCCAGATTCACAGTGTCTGACTCACCCTGTTGAGGACAAGCTCTGCTTTTTTATGACGTGTCATATATGCATTAAGTGCTTATTTTAGGTAGGTAAAATCCAGACCTCTATGAAATCAGAGGAGGTCAACACCTAGTTCCATTAAAATCAATATCCTGTCCAGTTCTGACTGATCTGAATAAAGAGCACAAGGTTACACTCAAAGAGAACTGACTATGCAGGTGCTAATCCAGAAAAAAAAAAAAAAAAAAGTGTAGCTCCAGGAAGGAAATAAAATGTATGTCTGAGATCACTGAGTTCTGATTGTGTTTCAAATGACTTAGTTGCCTGTGCAACTGAGTGCATGCTCAGTGCATACACCTACGTAGGATGGTGGGTGTATTCTGAACTCTTCGTAATACAGCACACTTTTTCTAATTCACATTTGCATGCTGTGTAAAAGAAATTACATGCATCTAAATTCACACACACACATAAAGCTGAGGGGATAAATAAATATCTTTCAAAATATACTTTAAGAGACACTCAAATGAGTGTTCTGCTTTACTACAACATAGGCTGAACCTGGGGAGAGTTTCATCATAACTATAGAAAGCATGTGTTAAAATATAATGGCATTACTGACACAAAAAATGGGCAAATGAATATCATAGTAATACAACATCATCTATTTTTCTCCTGGCAACAGTGACAGAAAAAGTCCTTTCTAAATCAGCCATACCATTAATTCTCAGTTTCTCTGTCTTTTGCCTTTAAAAGAAAATGTGATGCATATATGTCTATGAGGATTACTTTATGTGCTTTTGCATCACAAATGGCGTTTTTTATTTCTGTGACTTCAGCAGCAGATGCATCAGGATCCAGGGTGAGCAGCGCTGTTCAGGCCCCGCTGCCAGCAGATGGCAATCCTGTCTTGCAGGTCCTGCATTGCCAGTGGGCAGTGAACTGGCACCCCAACTGTGGGATCACTGAGGAGCGGATAGGTGACCCTAAATTACTCTCTCATCGCTTAACAAAATGCTCCTTTCATGGAATTATTTTATTCTTTTCCAGTTTTCAAGACCTCAATCAAGAACTGTGTAGAGTCAGATCCACACACTGGAGCAGGTACTGCTCAGTGCAAGCTGTCTGTCTGGAACAGTGTTTTCTCTACATAACAGCAGCTTTCTGTGAATAACTCATGGGAGAACCTGGCCTTCCTTCTCAGTTCAACAGCACCTTTATCCTGCTGTTCTCCATGTTCACACACACCCTGCTAAGGTCATAAAACTATCAGCTTAAATATAAACAGTAATAAGTGGAAAACATTTTATAGCTAGAAATACATGGTCTTGTGAATTGCAAGTAATACAGGATTCAAATAAGCTTTTTCTTTTTTCTTTTTTCTTTTTTTTTCCCCCTCAAACACAGTCAGTTTTTCCCCCTTAAGGTACAGAAGGAGGGCACCATGGTGACACAACAGCACTGTGCTGCTCTATCAGCCCAAAGGCCCCAGCATGGGTCACATCAGACAGGAAGGTGCTGCCCAGAGCCCTGTGCTGGAAAAGGGGCTCAGTGCTCAGGCACTGGCTGTTGTGACAAGAATCTTACAGGAAGGCAAACAGAAGGTGAATGTGGACCTACAGATGTCAGCCCATGAAGAAAAACCAAAGGGAAGAGCAGGCAATCTCATTTCCACTGAGAAAAGAAACAAAAAGCAATGCACAGTGTTATCTCATTTGGAATTTCAGTAATGTGCTTACAGAGACATTAAAAGGAGTGTTACCTGTTCTAAGAGATTCTGCAGCCTTTCTATTTCACAGTCTATTACAAATTTCTTTTCTTGTCTTCGGTCCAGGTCTTCTAAAAGCCGCCTGTAGCTGGCATCATTGAAATTCTCCACACAGATGGCACTGACTTGCCAGCTATTTTGTCCTGCTTTTTCCATAATAGCTTGAAGTATTGAATAACCTAGAAGAAAAAGATACAATACACTAGTAACACAACAATTGTTTATTATTATTATTATTATTAAATAGGAATTGTTCTTAAACAATATTATGTCTCTTAATATTGGCTCCTGCAGGGAGAAGAATAAGATAAAGTCTGTATCCCTACCTATGTTATTAGCCATGATCAGCGCACATTATGTAATTAATGAAAATTACAATTGCTATAATCAGAACTGTTGGAATGATTCTCAGTATTCTGGATAAGCCACATACGATTTATACATACAAACTCATCCTGTCAACCATTCAATTTCCCAGATTAGTTTCATACAAACTTATATATCCAGACCTTTCTCATGATACCACAAAGAAAATACCAGAGTCCACTCATTCACCAGAAAGATTTGTATACTAAAAAAGCAGAGATGCTTTGTTTTTTGTTGTCAGTGGACTTTTTTTTTTTTTTTTTTTTAACACTTAAGCCAAGTGACTTTTGATGCTTCTTAATAAGAATTTACTTATACATAGGAGCAGAAAGGTGTGTAACTGAATTCTTTCATGCAGAAAAAAACAGCACCCATTGGCATTCATCAGCTCTTGCTGAATGTTTCTGGAGAACAAACAGTGAGCACTGTTTGTGTGAGCACAATGAGGGGGGAACGGTGAGTTTCAGCAGTGGTCATGGGGACAGTGGGGCACCTCCACTGGTGCAGACTGTTATGAGTGCAGCATGCAGACTCTTGTTCATTGCTGATGAAAATGTGCAGCTAATAGCAGTGACTGTATTGAGAAATAGCATTTTGCAGCTGACAATTTGCTCTATCAAATAGTGTTTTATATTTGCTGTAGTGTTTATGGAAAAAATAATAATAAGGCATTACTTTCAGAGTAACTTCTGTATTTATGCCAGTAAAGATATGTGTGAATAAAAATCACATTGATCTATTTCAGTGATCCTATATAGCTTTAATCAATGCATGCAAAGTGACTAGAGGTCAACAAACGAAGGGCACCACAGAGGCATTAATTATTACTACTGCTCTTTGTCATTACTATTTGATGCCCCCATTGTCATCTCTTTGTCCATTCACAGGTGACGAAAGCAGCATCTGCACCCAGGTCTCTGCCTGAACCCACAGGGCAGGCTCCCTGCCCACAGCCTCCTGCCACTCCCCTCAATCCTTCTAATTTTTCTCACTAGAGAAGTGCAGCACAGAGGCAGGAGAGGAGCCTGTGCCTACACAGGATATCTTGCACATCTTGCCCTGACCTTCCCAAGAAGTTGGAAGCATGTGCTATCCCATCTTTTATCTAAACGGGGAATTTATATAAAGCAGAGAAGGTTGCACATCTCAGATCCAGAGCTAATGTTTAAGAAAAACAAGGACAGGCATGTTTGTTGACAACATACCGGTAGAAATGATATAATTCGAAGAAAGTGCCTCTGTCCAGAATCAAAACACAAAAAAATAAGACATTTTAATTGCTATCTGGCTTTTCCCATTATCTTCAAAAGATTTCACCTCTTCAAACTCTCATGTGATAACATGGATACACTTGGCGCCTTTTTTCTGTCTTTCACAGGATGATCCCATGCTTGGGCACAGGGATCCCCAGCTGTTGGAGGCATCACTGCATGGCAGGCTCCCCGTGAAAGGTATTGACTGAGATTCACACAGACTGCAAGAGGGGCCTTGTAAGTTACAGGAAGAGTATTGTGAGTGTGCAGTTGCTAACTGATAAAGTAGACCAACAAAACTACCAAAAATCAAGCTTGCTACCCAGTAAAGTAAAATCAGATGCTCTTTTTTTTTAGCAGAATATGCAGATTTTAGGACATACGACACTAATTCTATTGCGAATTAGGAGTAGTTATTTTCTCACTGGCTCCTATGACAATTGTAGTCCTTGAAACATTAACTTAAAATCTGTATCTTCTTGTTATTTAAGATAAAAATGCAAACGCCTATAATGAAAACACAAATTGTGTAATTTATTTTATCTTATAAATTAGACATTCAATTTATAAAACAATGTTTTACCTTAGGAAATGCATTCAAATACTTCATGCATTGACTGTTAAAACATTTCTGTACTCAGCATATATTTTTAACCTGATGACTGCTATTTTTTTCAAAGAACCATACAGTTTTCCTGTTAATTGCTACATAATTATTCTGCTTTTCCTGTTGCTATATTAAATCTCCTTTTTGTCTGTAATTATCTCTGCAAATCATGACGCGATTCTTTCCCAAACATTGTATTAATTGCTTCATTTCCTATTCATTTCCATATATAGATGTACATTAAGACTACTCCAGTGTTATAGGGGTTCCTGCTTCATTTACACTGTAGCTTTGACTGGTCTTTGCTACAAAGACAGTCAACATTTACGTAATTCAGCTTCCTGACACAAATTAACATTTTCTTTGATTCAGAATGAATGGTGTTTGAAAGAGCAATTGACATCCCCTCATTCCCCTCTTAATTCATTTTGACAACTTTACTGAGATGTGTTTTGATCAAACTGGGAGTTTATCCCAGCATAAAGCATGACAAATATCAGACAAACACAAAGAAAAGCTTTTTTTCTACCTTGGATCAAGATTTGACTTGCCATATTTCATTAGCAACTGCCTCCATGTAGGCATTTTGGGCTTCTACAGCTTCTCATCAGTAGCTGGCACTCAGACATGGGTTTTCATGTTAGTATATCTTTCATATAAAGCATAAAACAGGTAATCTGTAGTAACTGGAAATAGCACACATCTCCACAAGATGTGAGGGATTCCTAGGCAGGTAATTCATGGTACAGTTATATATTCAATGCACAAGAAGAAATTTTAATAAAACAGCCTGACAAGGATGGAGTTTGTGCAGAATGAATAAAGGCAATCACAGGGTCAGAAGGCATCAAAATTACACATGCAGAAGAAAATCACTATTTGGTAAAATAATTGGCAACAACCAAGAGGAAAAAAAAAGTTTTATGTGATGTTGCAAATATCTTATACAGCAACAAAGAATGAAACTAACCCGCGTTAATACTATTAATACAGAAACTAAGTGCAGTGCTTCTGCTTAGACAAAATTTGTAGACTTCAGAGATGTGTTTGCCCAAGCGAAGACATCAGACATGAATCGTACAGCTGTGCTCTGAAAAGTATTTGTTTTCTGGTTATCTGCTGTTTATTCTCAGTTATGTCACAGGCAGATAAGTGATTCATTTTCTGGATATTTAGTGATATGTGTAAATTTCATCCCATGTATTGTGGAATATTACTGCCTTCATGAAAGCAAACTAAAAAAGAAGCTAACTCCTGTCATCTGAGCAGCACGGTCAATGTTTTTTATTTAAACCATTATTTTACAAAATGCTTAGGTCTATACCAAGAAACAAAAGAAAAGGAAGTTGTCAGATAGATATATAATAACCTTTCTTCACCAATTCAACCTTTAAATCCACTTAAATCATTAGGAAAAAATGCAAATTACTTGGTCCAGACATAACTGGTTGAAGACTGGGGATCTTTATCAACAGAATACCTGTCCTTCCATCAGTTTGATTATTTAAATTAGGAAATCTCTGAACAAGAGAAGGTATCACTGAAATTGCTTGGAAACATAGTTGAAGTCTTCCTTAAATGCAAAGATGCTATATGCAAGAATATCTTCTTTTTTTTTTACAGGACTGTGATCCTGTGGAATTTTCCTCTAATAACCTGCAATGAGAAGTCTGCCAACTGCTTTTGTGGGTCACTGCTCAAATGCAGACTCTATTGACAACTGCTCAATGTCCAGTAATAGCAGCTCCACTTCACTACCCTGGAATCAAACCTGAGACAGGAAAAGTCTGCAGTGAACAGGGCTACCAGCAGCTCTATCAGGTTGCTCAGAGTCCTGACCAGCCTGACCTTGAGTGTCTCCAGGGATGGGGCATCCCCTCTGGGCAGCCTGTGCCAGTGCTTCACCATCCTTTACTGTAAAAAAGTCTTCCTTATGTTCAATCTAAATCTCCTATCTTGAAGTTTGAAGCTATTTCCCCTTGTCCTGTCACAACAGACCCTGCTAAAGAGTCTGTCCCCTTCTTTCTAACAGCTCCCCTTTAGATACTGAAAGGCTGCTCTCAGGTCTCCCAGGAGCCTTCTCTTCTCCAGGCTGAACAGCCACAACTCTCTCAGCCTATTTACTTCTGTTTTATGGTGAAGTGGAATTGTGGTAATCTAACACACTGCTCCTGTTTTCCAAATGGATACCTGACAATTGTCTGGTTGAAAAACAAAGAAAGACAAAGAATTGTTTTTTTTTTTTTTTTTTCTGTAAAATCAGACTAGACAATGCTTATCCCCAAATTTTTACTTACTAGGAACAAGCAGCTAAGTACCTTACAAACAAAACCTCATATGTTTTTGACCCTACTTTCCTCATTCCCCATTGCATAGGCATGTTTTTCACTGCAAAATGCATCAATCATAGAGAAGCAATGCCAGGTGTGCACCTGGTCTTATGTCTGTTTAAAGAGAGATTAGTAATTCTTCAGAGACCATCACAGACACTTGCTGGAGAACAAAGTGTGCAAAGCACATTATAAGTGCCTGAATTCGGGAGCCCGGGCTTTCTCCTTGCCAGTACTGCACTGCCCCGTCTTTACTCTTCCTGCCCCTTCCCTCCACATAGCTGAAATCACGAGTCATCTTTTTCAATTATAGAAGTTCAGTAGTCCTTCAGGTGTTTTTATTTGTCTTCTTCTGCTCCAGCTAGGCTTGCCCCCATTCAATTTCATTTCAGTAGTCAGTGACTTAATTTTATTTATTTCCATTTAAATGAAAAGGAAAATCTGATACCTAAATCTCAGTGTGTTCAGAATAAACTGAAGTGATCAGATAAACATTTCTTGATTTTTTTTCCTGTCTGCAGGCACATGGTTGGCTTGTTTCCTTTTCTTTCTCTCCATTTCTTTTACCTTCTCATTTGTTTGCTTTCTCTAGCAATATTTCAGTGATCAATTACAGAGCTATA